TGTCCACTGTGCAGCGTACGCCCCTGCACCACCCGAAGATCCGGGGAGGGGGCGCCCGCGAGCGCGCAGGGGGGACAGCAGCAGCGGCGGCGGCAGCGCGCGTGCAGCGGGGGCGCGCGTGAGCGGAAAAGAGCGAGCAAGCTAAGCGAAAGAGGCCGGCAGGCTGCTGTGCTGGAGTCGGAGCGGGTAGGGGCCGGAGGAGCCAAGTCGGCTCTTCGTTTTGGCCCCGCGCTGAGGGAGGGGGCAGGTAAATTTCAGGGACGACTTCACCGTTCTCCAAAACGCTTAAACCGTTTTCTTCAGCCAGATTCCATCCGGACATGGCAAGGGCGCTGCAGCCCACTCCAGATGGGCCTTTGAAAAGGGGAGGGGGGATCCGTGCTAGCGTCTGTCGGGCCTAGCAGGGAAGCCGGGCGATAGGAAAAGGAGGAGGGATGAAAAGTCCAGAAGCCTTTGCTAAATCGTTCACTGTGTAGCAGCTGCAGCTTTCGGGGAGGTGGGGGGAGTGCGGCAAGGCCAGGCCAGGCCTGCTCTGCTGTGCGGTGCTCCCGGCAAGCAACAGCAGGGTGGATGCTGCCCTTGTTTTGAAGGCAACGTTGGGTTGTGGCGATTAAGAGGCAACGTTGTTGGAAGTGGAGAGTTGGGGGAAGGGACCCGCTCCCGGCTTGTTAGACGCTCTGCGGCCTCCGGGCCAGGACAGAAGGCGGCTGCTGGGCCTCTGCCGCGGCAGCGGCCGCCGAGAAAAAGGAGGAGGAGCAGGAGGAACGGCTGCCATTTTGGAGAACAAGGCCATGGAGGGCTTGGCTGACCCCATTGTTGCTTGTTTGCTTCACAGGTTGATGCCCGCCTCACGGAATGGATCAGGCCTGCGAAGTGAGCAGGAGGGGCTGCCTGCCTCCTTTCGCCACTCCTTTGGGGCTAGATGCGCCGGAGGAGGACGGGGACAGCAGCCCTTACGCGGGGGAGGGTCGGAGCGGTAGCCTTGAGCTCCCTAATGGGTGCACTGTGGCGCTCCCTCCAGCAGCGCCCAAGGCTGCACACAGCCAAGACCCTTCCTCCTGCTATATCCCGCTGCCCAGGCTGCAAGATTTGGCCTCCACGGGCAATGCTGAGTATTTGAATGGCTCAAAAGATGGCTCTGATTCCTTGCAGGAGCTGGAAATGAGCGACTCCAGCCCCGACTCCCTGGAGCTTTGCAGTTCTTCGTTGTTAGGCGGCCCCGAAGACTACCCTCTGCAGGATTCTGCCAGGCTTCTGGATTTTGAGACTTTTTCTCCTCCCTCGGAGGAAGACAAGGAGGTGGATTCGGAAGCGTCGTTCATCACAGCCGAGGAAAATCCCGAGGAAGAAATTCACTTGAGGATGGAAAATAGAGCTACAGCCACCTGCAGTAAGGAAGCCGAGTCTGAAAACGGGACAGACCTGAGCCCAGAGCTCCAGCTAGGAGACTGTATAGAAATTAGACCCAGTGAGACCATTTCTGCCCTCTTATCAACCCCAGTTCCTCCTCCAGAGTATGTACAAAGTAATTCTTACCAAGAGTCTGCTATAGGGAGCAGAACTGAGAACGCAGACCTACCCTCAATGCCTTATTTACCTGGAGATGCCGACCTGAGAAGAGAAAACCAATTCAGCATCATGAAAGCATCTGAAAAGGAGGATCCCAATCGGAGTCCCATCACCTTAGGAAACTTGATAGAAAGGCTTGAATCTTCAATTACTGCAAATCCACCAACTCCAGGATTACCATCTGTAAGCAGCCTTGGGGTACCAAATAAGTTTTCTGGAAATTTATTTTACTGTGGCCACCTGCTGCTGTAGAGAAGCATAAATGGAGGGAGGAAGGGTTAATCAGTTATGGGGCAGCCTTCTGCAACCTGGTGCCCTCCAGATATGTTTGTTCCTAGAACCACTAACTGTCTGACTAGGATGCTAAAATGTAATTCATCTGGAAGGCATCAGGCTGAAGAAAGTTGGCATGGGGCATATTTACTCCATATGTCCATTTATGTGTTTCAGTTGTAAATCGAAATGGGAATGTTTTAGTAAAGTGAATAGTACAAATGAGCTTTAAAACTGTTTTGTAGCCATTCTGCCTGGCATAGAATCATCAAAGTTGGCATACTGAAAACCAACTTATTACAAAAGCAGGTTTGAATTTGCTATCTTTTTCTTCTACAGGAATTCCCACCTTTTCCTGTTCATTACTGACAACTATCTTGCCAGAATTAGGATTTGACATCTTACAAATTGTGTTTAAAAATTATTTTAATTATTTTAAAACATTTTTTTCATTTACAGCATCCTCTTCCTTCTGCTTACAGTTCCAATTATTAGTTTAAATGTGGTATTTTAAAACTGCTTTAGAGCCAAAATATTCTTTGGATAGAACATTTGTCTATAGAACTATAATATCTATAGTTCTAGGTAATTTTTGAGTGTAGATTATCTTTAAATAAATGAAAAATAAAACTAGTTGCATGATCTAAAAAAGTTATTTTTGCATTTCTGACTTGATTTGCAAGGTTGGTAGAACTATTTCACATAAAAGTGTTTCACTGCAAGATTAATAGCAAAAATATAAAAATAAGTGTGTGATTTGGCACATTTCTTTTGCACAGGAACACATTTCATATACTTGCTGCCAGTTTTGTCTTTTCAGTACATGTACATATGGTACAATGAACTGATGTGTAGAATACATGTGACGTCAACAAGTGTTATATGCCATGTATCTAAGTGTATATATTAGGGCAAAATAACATGTATGAAGCAGGGGAAAATACATTATTTTAGTAAAACAAAGATTTAACTAAAAATTTAAAACGTAGATTTACATTTTTGTCCTACAAGTTGAATTATTGTAATTTCGTTTATATAGGAAAAGGTATAAGAGAGAAGGTGATCTGTTCATGGGCTGGAATTGATTGGGAGTTATAGGGCCATGATACTGATAATACCTGGAATCAAAAATTTACTTTCCAGGAGTAATTTTGCAAATAATTATATTTTGCTGTGGTCCTGTATTCATTGCTCTGGATGGAAGTATTAAGGAATAAATACAGGGACTGACTTAAGGATTGTGCTGAAACATTATTTTCATAATGGTTAGGATTGTAACAGCTGTGCCAGAATTATACAGGCAGTAAATAAATAGAATTATGCCTGGCAGTAAATAAATAGAAAAAAGAGTTGTATGGTACACGAATAACAGAACAATTTTACACTTGCCCATTCAGAAGTGAGTCCCATGTAATTAAATGGAACTTAATTCTAGGTAATGAGAAGGATTGCAAACAGTGGCCTGGTCCACACATTCACATACACATACCACTAAATTTGAGCATGATGTGGTGGGTTTTTTTGGCTTAGCTTGTTATGTAAACCAGGCCATTATGAGTTTATATGTGGATGCAAACAATGTTGGTATAAGTCTTTTTCTTATCTTCAGCAATAACTTTGACATATTATTCATATCTACTGTTATTTTACTGAAAGCTAGTAATTTAGGGGGGAAGTTGTTGAATCCAAAAATGGTGGATAACCCAATAATAATTTTTTGCAGCAGGATGTCCACTTCATCCACTGTGATCACTTCAAGTATTAAATGCATATATATTGTATATGAATGTGTATGTATTCTAATGTGTGTGTGTGTGTATATATATATATATACACACACACACACACACATACACGCACACACATAAACATTTTGCACAATATAAACAAAAGTTTTTAAACCAGTCATCCAGTTGAAACAACCGTAATCATATGAATTGAGTAATAATTTGTGGATAGGTGAAATTGATCTGAGTTAAGAACCTTATTTATTGTTTTAGATGATGCAAGCATAATCTTAGGAGAGACATTCTCTCTTATGCAAGAGCAAACAAGAATATCTCTGAAGTAGTTATTTGTTATTTTGCCACTTTTTGTTAGTGTTTGCATTAAAATGTTTGTCTGGTTTTTTGTTAAAGGGAGGTGCAAAGGACAAGCAATACAAGAGTTGGTTATAGGAATATCACCGTTCTGTACAGAATTGTACTCACGAAATACAATTTTCATTTCCAAATCATTTTGAGTCTACTGTTACGAGTTAGTATCACTGTTTTCTTAAGGATTTGCCCTCTAAGTCTGAGTGTACATGACTAGGTCCTGTGGTGGTGCAAAATAGGAAGCATATGGGAGGCCATTGATGAGCACTGATTGCTTGTGTGTGATGCTGTTGAGATAGAGAAAGATAAGAAACCTTAAAAAAAAGAGGTTTTTGCCTTTTGAAGTTCAGTACTGTTATTTCTCTTTTTAAAAATGTTTGGCTGAGATTAAATCAGAGTAAAAGTATGTTAGCTCACTGGGCCACTTTTGTATGCTTATATCTTACCATAATAAGCCAAGATATGAACAAGCCTTTTGGCCATCCCTGTCTCCCTTTTATATTAGCTGGCAGATAGGTCTTTAGCGAGCTGTAGTTTCCTGTCCTGGCTTCATTTAAAGCTGCTGAGTGAATGTGAAACTATTAATGATGATTTAATTATTTCTTTTGTCAGTCAGCTTTCATTAAGGGTAGCTTCTTAAGCTGAAATTTATTGTCCCAAGTTTCCTATTGTGCATTCAGACATCTAAGAAGTTAGATAGTTCATTATGAGATGAATATGCTCTTGTTACTACCACCTCAGTCCAAGTAGATTCTAGGCAGTTACTAGTAATCTGTAACAAACTAGTTTCCTCTTTCATTCAATTTAAAGTATTATTTGTCCAAGCAGAGTTAATAAATAAGGCTTAAACTGTGGTTTAATGTGATTTCCCATACTTGAACAAATTGGAAACAGGACTTTTACACTTCATTCCCTTGTATGAAGGTGAAGGTGAGTGCAGAAGCATGAGGCCTGCAGTGTTTCTGTGGGATATCTAAAGATTACTATTATTTCAAAACTGAATCCCTTCTAGGAAGCTCAAAGGCAAAACTGTTGCTTTTCTATGTAGAATAATTGTGGAGAAATATATATCATAAAAATGTATTAATATGGTATAATTTCTGTGTAGCTAATGAGCTTCAGAATACTAGGAGTTGGCCCCTGATGAACCTTTTGCTGAAAAAAAAAATGAACTGATGATTTATGGATTTGATTATTAGAAAGGGTAGAGTATAGAAAGAAGGAAACTTTGATATAACCTTAGAGAGGGTAAAATATAAATGTACTTACAGCTGCTGTTAAGATCAGAAGCCACTTCTTTATTATTTCTTTTTTTTTTCTTTGTCCTTTTCTTTGTCCTTTTCTTTATTTACTTTTCACTTTTCTATTACTTTTCTCTATTTCTCTTACCCGTAACTTAAAATTTGTATTGTCTTTATTCTGTGGACAAACTTCTTTATATTAAGAGGGGGAGAGGGAGGGAGGGAAGGAAGGAAAGAAAGAAAGAAAGAAAGAAAGAGAGAAAAAGAAAGAAAAAGGCAGGCAGGCAGGCAAGCAAACCAGAAATTGGGATCTGGCATATGGTTGTAGCTTGTGGGATCCAGTCTGTGCCCCCAGGAGATCCCATCTCAGGTTTCTCAAGACAAATATTTCACTTAGATCATCTTTTATGCATCTGTTTCTGTGTTTACTACCACTCAAATTATGAAGGGCTTTCCAAAAATAAATAAATTGTTTCCATTCTACCCCACGTACTCTGCCCATAACTAACCAGCCCTTCTGACAAACATAATGAACAAGTAAAAATATCATGTTTGTGCGTTCATGCTAATGTATTAAGTAAATAGTACACTTACCGTAATGCAAGTTAGTAAGTTTTAGTAGTTCAGTTAACCAGCATTATTTACAAAATATTTGTTTTAGTACTAGAGAAATTGGACCAGCCTTTTAATCAATTTAAACCATTATTATTTATAATAAGTAATACACTGTTTCTTAAAGTGTGGTCCTAGGACCCCTGGGGATCCCCCAAGACCCTCTCAGGGAACCATAAAATCAAAATTATTTGCCAGCCTATGTTGAAAAATAATCCAATATTAAAATCCCATCAAACAATCATGAGAAGCAGTAGCGGCAGCAAATGCGTCAGTTTTAATTTTTAATACGGTAAATATTGCTAAATGTAACCCATAGAAACAAAAGCTCTTTTGGAGTCCTCCATAATTTTTAAAAGAGGGAAGGGATCCTGAGAGAAACTTTAAGAAACACCGATATTATAGTTTTGTATCTTAGATTCTGTATAATAAAATAGTTTTGCCCATAATATCCCATACGTATGAAGAATGTGTCAGATAGTCTGTCCCACCAGTAAAGTTTGGAGTTTTCACACACTCAAAAATAAGTCCAACTGCTAAACATTCCCTTGATAGAGTCTTTACCACTCTGGGGCCCCTCCTGATGTGTTCGATTAAAAGGATCCTCTACCCCAGCTCTGTCTAAAGGTGTCAGTCCTAGATTCTGGTGTATTTTTACAGTAGCCTGGGACCCTTTTAAGGATGGAATGAACCTTTTTTTTTTTTAAGGGGGGGCAGTAGCTGGGAGAGAAGGAGGTTGTGTTCCCAAGACCAAATGAAATAGAGCAAACCCTAGTGAAGCTCCTCCACCCATTCACTGGAGAAGTCTCCTTGGGCAGTTGGCTTCTTTTTTTTTATTGCAGCCTGCAGTGGTGCATCCCCCCTGCCCCCCCCCCCGCTTATCTTTATGGCCCAGGAGAGGTCATAGAAGTGCCATTCTGACAGACCGGTGGCTTTTTCCAATAAATTTGTTGGATCTCAG